ATGAGAGCATGGAGAGAATGTATGTATGGAAGAAGCTGCGTTGCTGATTGTGGGAGAGAGGCTGATCACAGCAGTTGTATTGAGCTGCGTACATTACCTTACTACTCTTAGTGGTGAAATCTCATGCTTATTTTGATGGGTTTGTAGATCACTGATTTGAAACTTTGTCAGAAGTTGTGTGTTTCTGTATAGGAGACATGTGGATGCAGCTTTCTCAAAAGACATCATAGGAGCGCTTTTCTGCATGTAGGTTGCTCTGGACACGTGTTTTTACTGATTGTCTCAATGTTAGAAATGCAAATAGGGGCTTTTAGCCCATTATCTGTATTATCTTGCAGTAGGCCTGTTTCTTTTTATTTTGTTGGGGGTTTTTTTTTTTTTTTTTTTCAACTCCACTTTGCAGTCTGGACTATTTAAAATAATCAAATGATTGGTCTGAAAATGTAAAAGAAAGCTGGGCCTCCACCAGAGGATCTCATCTGAGCCAATTAAAAATGAGTTTCATAAGCACAAGATGCCTTTGTGTTTTACTGAAATCTTACTGCTTTTGGGGGAAGAGGAATTAAGCTTCTGCTTCTCTGGGAGAGAAAAGATTAAGAAATAATGCTGTTAATGGAGGAGAAGAGATGTCTTAAATAGCAATGAATGCTGTTAAAAATACCAGCTTCTACCCACTAATGATTGGCCAAATTTTGCAAACTTAACAGGTTTCATATTTTTTTATCTTGCATTGCCTTTGATGGGAATTTGTGTTTGATTGCATGGTTGTGGGTGTAATATCTGATACTCTTGGCTACAAAAAGTATGTAGGTTCTTAAAATTACATTTGTTCTGGCCTAGGGCAGAGCTGTGTGGGTGTTGGATGTTTCTTTGAGACCTGACATTCCTTTAGGTTAATCACCTTCTGGTATCTACAACTTTAAAGGAGGACGATTAATATCTAGCAGCTGACTTCACTACATGGCATAGATCTGCACTGCTGTAGATTTAATGCTCCAGTATATGACCCACCCGTCTCGTGAAGGCAGTGTTTAGATAATCAGTTATCCAGAAATATACTCTGTGGATCAGAGACAAGGAATTATGAATGTTACTTAGTCTCATCAATGGCATAGTGTTTAATCTATTCAGCATATTAGAGTATTAGTTGATCAGAAGTGCATTAGCATCTGCTTAGGTGAGATGGTGTGGATCTTTTTCTGGCCAATACAGAAATGTAGCCTAGCACAGTGTACTAGAATTTTACTAACTGATAAATAGTTGTCCTATGTGTATCTGAATAGCTGGAATATTTAAATTATACTAGCTGTGTAATGTCCTGCGTACTAATTTTGACAAATGTAAAAAAAAAAAAAAAAACAAACCACCCACCACACAGAATTTGCTGAATACGTGATAAACTGGCTGCTGCTGCTTATGCAAAGTGAGCTGGATTGTCAGAAGTAATTGGTTTAATTTAAACCCAGCTCATTTTAAACGAAAAAGGTTAGGGAGCAGCCACATGATCAGTTCAGCAAGCAGATCTAAGGAGGAAAGTAATAATTTCCATTAATACAGACAAGCAGGATAAAACATGGTGAACAGCCCCAGCCAATTCAGCAGTTTCCATTAATGATTCAAAGCGTAAGCAAACACTTACCAGCAAATTTTGAGCAACTTCTGAATCTTGTTTAAAAGCAGGTAACTACCTTGTTTTGCCAGGTACCTCTTGATTAAAACCTGATAAGGAGAAACTAGGGAGTGCTTGGACTTGATGGTTGTGCCTGTCTTAGTCCATTCAGCTACAGCCTTATCAGAAAAAGTGTGATTAATCTTGATTACATGAGGGAGTAGAAACTGTGAATTTTAGTTTGCATTTCATTTTAACACTTCCATAAGCACAAGTGGTACCTTCATAGTTTGTCCTTTAGCTAGAGGTCTTTTGTTGCAGTTATGCATGTGATTTATGACTATTGTGTTCATGGTCTTCTCTTAATTTCTTCTCTAGGGAAAGCGCGTGTGCAGCAGCTAGCAGAGAACACAAGATATTTCAGGAGGCGACTGAAAGAGATGGGCTTTATCATCTATGGAAATGAAGATTCCCCTGTTGTGCCTCTAATGCTGTACATGCCAGCAAAAATTGGGTAGGTTTGACAGGATAACTTGTCATCAACCTCCTTTAAAGCTAGGGTGGTACAAAAGTGTTAAGACTTGTTTAAATATAAGAAAAGACTGGTTTGATTTTTGTGTTTTATGATCATTACTGAGTCTTATAAAACATGGAAACTTCCTGTAAGTGATCTTGAGAAAATTGAGGCTTGAAGCTTGAGGCAGGGAGAAAGCACTTCAGGGAAGTGATTTTGCCACTACATGCTTTGTTTTAAAAGTTGGCGCTTTTTTTTAAAAAAAAATTATTTATATGTAAAGTGTATATATGTGCTAAAGAGAAGCTGAAATTGAAGGGAAATTAACATTAAAAGTCACTGGAAGAATCTTTCAACGAGCTACTGGATCAGAAGCCACCAACGTTTCCACAGATGAACTCTGAAAATTTAAAAGAAGAAAAAACAGGGGGGGCAGGACATGATGGGACACAACAACCTGTATTTGATGGATCCCAACTTTTTTTAAGAGGTCTAGATTTAATAGCTTTGATATTGTTATTATAAATACTAATAGAACTGTAACATATAGCTTTATAAATGCTTATGGACTTGTGGGCTGCTGTGTGGATAATTAAGGCTAAAATTCTGCAAGCAGGATATAAAGTATATATTTCAAATTTTGTGCAACATAACCAAAACCCTGATTTCAAGGACGACTTCGCTTTGGTAGCCACTTTTCAATGTCCGTGCATAATGCAGTGCCCAACCACCACTTTCAAATTTGGAAAGGGATAGCTTTATTCTAAGTCATTCTGAATATCTCTAGTGCTCTTCTAGCTCAGTTAGGCTTCAGTCTGGATAAACAGTCTGGTTCTGAGAGGGAACAAGCATCTTCTCGGACTCTGCATGAAGCTAGATACAGTCTTCTTCCACCCTTCTTAGTACAATGAAATTTAAAGGGGCTGTGACCTTTATGGGTGTGCCATCCAGCACACAGATATGTGCTGTTTCTACTGCCCAGCTGCTCTACTAGTCAGTACAATCTTTTTTCTGAAAATGTTGGTGGAAGTGTTTGTTACCTGAGCAGCTGGGCCAATAACTTACTTAAAAATGAGCAAGAACACAGAGCTCTGATGAGAGTTGCCCCTTAGGATCTGCATCGGGTCTACTTCATCCTTTCTTTTTCTCTTGTAGTCTGTTTTTAAAATAGTTTGAGAGTACTAAATGGATACAAAATGAAGTGTATCAGGGTGCACCTATTTAAGAGGAAAATCGATGTAGCAGAAGTAGAAGGCAGACAATTTAAACATAGTAAAAGGATGTTATCTTTATACATCCTTACAAGCCTCTTAAGTTCATTGCTACTTCTCAAGACAAGGTCAGATCAAAAACGATTAACCATTTCCTGTAGAAACACCCACAATTGCACTGCCATTATGGAAAGGATGGAGATCTTCATGACTCTTATCACATAAATTACAGCCACTAATTTCTTAAATCCCCATAAAAATTTGTTTTGTTGAAGATACTGTGTGACAGTTGTATGAGATTTTTGCACCTTCCTTAAAAATATTTGGTATCAGGTTAGATGTTCTCAATTTACTGTGGCAATTCAATGGTTCCCATGATAGGCACTTAAAAAGCAGTACATTCTGTGACACCGTAATGTACTTTAATTGGATTAAACTGGTGAAAACAAACCATCTTGAAACTGCAGAAGCATCTGCTTGGGGGGGGTTGCAGCATGGGGGATTCCTTTTATAGTAGAACTTCTGAGCCAAAATCCCTGTTTCCTGTCGGAAAGATTTCCAAGCTTAGGTTACAAATCCATTTAGAAACAGCCTGCTAAAAGACCAGCGTCTGCCACATACAATCTTTCAGCTTTGTTAGAACTTAATACAGTGAAATCTTTTCTGGAAGACCACCTTGGGAATGAATTAAAAAAAGGCTTTTATGAGCAGGCATTCTGCCTCTAAAAGAAAGCACTGGAGGCTCCAAATTGTGATCTTACAGGATTGCTTCAACAAAGGCCTGTATGGGTTAGCATAGTGAGACCTTCGTGCTGCTGCTTTGCCTCCACTGGTATCATTCTGATGATCTTCATTGTTCTCTCTGGCAGTGCGTTTGGGCGTGAGATGCTGAAGCGGAACATCGGTGTTGTGGTTGTGGGCTTCCCTGCCACCCCCATCATTGAATCCAGAGCTAGATTCTGTTTGTCTGCAGCTCATACCAAAGAGATGCTTGATATGGTAAGTGTCTCATCTTGTCTTCCTTCTGCTCGTGCCTGTTATAAACAGATACAATTGTCTATTTTTGTAGATTGGTTCAATGTTTGGTACACAAACTAGTTGAACCTAATGTTCAAAGCTGTATGTAGTAGAGCTAGCAGTGATTCCATCTTTCCTTGTGTCAACAATGCAGAATGGCTGCCTGCAGTAAATCTCAGAGACTTTCTTTTCCTATTTTAGATTATGTGAGAGAGTCTCATTCCTTTGAAACAATGCTTTTTCCCCTCTTAAGGGGCTCTAACTTCTACCAAGTCTTTTAGAAGGAAAAAATTATTCTTCTGACCCTAGATGCAGAAGGTAAGGGGGAAAAAAAAAAGCCTGACAATCTCCAAAACATCTATGTTCTTCTCAAAAGCAAGTGCAAACCTTAGCACGCGATTACCTCTGAGAACTTTTATTCCAAAGGTTACTATTCGAGTTCTTGCCTACAGCTTCAGAACACTATCTTAAATGATCCTGTCCAAAATGAGTCTGTGCCATGTGCAATGCCTTACTGACCTCTGCCTGCACTAAGCCTGTTCCAGCAGGGATGGAGGTTCCCTCTTAAGGAGGCCTGCATCGCAATTAGGAGATACTGCCTTAAAATTGAGGATGGAAGTTACTGTCTGACTATTATAGTTGAAAGGGGATTATATGAATAAGCCTGATCATCCTTATGTTTTAGTGTGGTAACTACATTCATTTTTGAGTCTTTGGAATAATCTTCTTTGATGGACATGTACATGAGTTGTCTTAGATTCTGTCAAAGTTCTCCGTTGTATTTTTTTCCCCCACTTTGCTGTTCTGTGACTCGGAACCTAAGCTAGGTTGAGTCATGACCTTGGATTTCAGTGTCCTGTTCAGAGACCTGCTTGAAAGAATCCCACAGGACATGGTCCCAAAGAGAGGATGTGTCCAGGACAGCTGGTTGATTTTTCACCACACACCCCCCCCCGCTGAAGAATGGTCCATCCTGACTTACAGGAGAGCAGCTGTAGTGGGAATCCTGCACGGACATGAAATGCAGCAGCAGGCAGGGCTTTTAGGGGAATATTAGTAGCAAAAGGAAGAGCAGAGAAAATGTGGGACTGCTGTTGAATGGCAGAGGGATCAGGTGACAAATGACAGGCAAGAGGCCAGGGTACTTTGTGACTTTGTTGCCTCAGTCTTTACTGATGAGACTTGCCTTCACGAATCCTGGTCCCATGAAGTCAGTGGAAAAATATGGAGCAATGAAGACTTACCCTCGGTGTGAAGGAGTGTTCAACTAAGGGAGCATTTATTTAAAGAAACTGAACATACACAAGTCCATGGGACCTGATGGGATGCACCCACAAGTGTTGAGGGAGCTGGCTGTCACTGCAAGGCTATTCTTGATTATCATCTTTGGAAGGTCGTGGTGATTAGGAGAGGTTCCTGAGGACTGGAAGAAAGCAAGTGTCACCACTGACTTCAAGAAGTCAAGAAGCGTGATCTGAGGAACTGCATGTTAAGAAGCCTCACCTTGATCCTTGGGAGGATGATGGAGCAAAAAAAATCCTTGAAAGTATTTTCAAACACTTTATGGACAAGAAGGTGATTGGGAGTAGTCGTTATGGAGTTATGAAGGGGAAATCATGCCCAGTGTCCAGATATGGTCACGTGGTAGCACTTCAATATGTGAACAGCAAATGGGACATGTAAACAAATACTTACTAATGTCTTGTCAAAAAAAAAAGCTTCAAACTTTTCACACTTCACTGCAATAGAACATTCAAATCAATAGCTGAAAGTGGCTCTTTTTTATATCAGTTATGTTAAGAAAATAGTAAGGCAGTGGTGTGTGCAGATTGGTGTATATTTAGTGTCATTTTGTGTCAGTTAATCTGCCATGTATCTGTGGTGCTATACTTGCTGCTTCTGAGTTGTTTTTGCCTTGTAAGACCTGAGAGATTCTGCCCTGACACTCCAACAGCAGACTGCTTAAGGAGTTCCTTCGCAGCTACTTGTCTTTCTACTCTTCCCATAATTATCTCAAATCAGTTGTTTCTGATCCAAATAAAAGTTCTAAAACAGTGTGTTTGGAGAAGGTCCTCTCCTTCACTTCCTTTCTCCCCATATAAAATAAATAGTGTCACAGTCTTGGCTCAGAGCATGGTAATAGAACTGAGTGCACTGACACAAATGAGGGAGCAGTAACTTCTGGCCAGGTGGACATGGGGGGATGAATTGGAAGAAGGGGGAGGAAGGAAAAGAAAGAAGACTGAAGTCTCTGAAATCATACTGCTGCAAACTGAGCTACAACTGAAACTGCGAACTTGATGTGCTGGCACTACCTGAGCAGTCTTGCTGATGGTCAGATTTTTGGTTTTCTCTTAGTGACTACCATAACAAGCTGATCTTACTTGCTCTCTTTCAAAACCAATCTGTAACTTTTATTACTCTGCTTAAGAAAGCTCTCTTCCTGTCAATTCACTTACAAGTCTTTCTGCTTTCCAGAAAATGTTTCAAGTTTTGTGCATTTAACTGTAAAGACTTATTTCTGGAGTACCTCTGTAGGTGCTAAGTGCTCTAAATAGAGGAAATGCTTCTTCACTATATTAAGGCTTGTCTGCCTAAGAAAATTAATCCAGGACAAAATGAGGTGTGAATTTTGAAGCAAATGAAGAAATCCTGATTTAGCTTAGTATGTGGAGGCTTTGTTCCAACTTAGTGTAATCCACTTTAAGGTTCAAAACAGCTGCATGCTCTGAACCCAGAGCATTGGCAAGAGGAGTTAATAAGGAGCAAGCCTTTGTGTCAGTGACTTTGTGTTGTGTTTTGTGATGCAGTGAAAGGGAATTGATTTCAGGCAGCTAATCATTAAGGCAGCCCTCAGATCTTATCCCTCTGCTGAACTGTGGCAACAATATCCAGGAGGAAAAAAATGAATACACTTGGAGAGCTGGCAGAGAGCTTCTTCAAGTCAGTGACAGAGAGGAGAACTTGGTAGCCCATCCATGTGTGCGTGGATGCTAACTAGGGCTGTTACAGCATTTTTTTCTAAACAAAATTTATCCAGGTTTGGAGCACGGGGAAGAAAAGCTTGTCTTGTAAATGCTGATATTTGTAATGCTTCCTCGTTCTCATTAAATAAACCCACATGATGAGGAATAGTTCTCAGTTACCGTTTTATGTAAATAGAACTTCCTTGCCTGAAAATATTTGGCTCAGGATCAGAGTGAAGTCCTTCATAACCTGCATCCCTGTGGGCTGGTGCTTTCTTTTCAGTGATGAAAAATATATTACACTCTCCTGAAGTCAGAGTTCACCAATGCCATTTCCGTTGTAGTCTTTGCTGGTCACATGGTCCTTTTTGTTTTAAATTAATAAAATCCTAAATCTGCATTCAAGAATAACAGTTAACAGACTCTTTCAACAGAAATTCAACCTTAAATTGTTTCCATATGGGATCTTTACTTAAAGCTCTGGCAAACTGTGCCCACGCTTTTGTATTGTTTTTTGTTTTTACTGAGGTCCAACTTTGGGTTTGTCGTTCCCCCAGATTTTAGAGTGGAGACATTTTTGCTGCCAGATATAACAAGCACGAGGGGCCATTGTTTAAAGAAAACAAAAACTTGAACTATCCATCCAGGAAGGAAAAGCATGTAGGGGTATTAACCCCCGTCTGCCAACTATTCTCAAGAGACAGGCATTTGACCCAGAACATGTTAAAATCGGAGCATTAATGTTGAATTAGTGCCATTCTAAAGGAATGCTGAAATTACCCATCTGAATAAATTTACAATTCAAAGGAGTACAGAATGCCACCTTTGAGTTTAAAAAATCACATTGGACTTGAAGTCATCTTCTGAACTCATTTCTTTGTCACTTGCCTGTATAAGATAATTAGCATCGTGTACTGTTGCAGATTTGACTGCAGCAACAGATTTATTTTGTACCTTGCTCCACTAATGTTCTGTGGAGAAATTAATTGAAGTTTAGGGTTTGACTTTTAACAAATCCTATTGTGAACCAGTGTCTTATCAAAGAAACCGCAACATAAAGAAAGTATGGTTAACTGAGCCGGGAGTTTCCTCATTTCTTATGCTAGCAGATGTTTGATCTCTAGTAAACTTCGTAACATTTGCATTCATGTCAAAATGGTGAAAGGTTGGGTTAGATCACCAGCAGTGTTCTGCGCCATCAGTAGCCCAAGTGTTGCCTTTGTGGCAGCCTCAGTCAATGGGACTTGCCTGCTAGGGAGAAAATGCTTGGGATGATACCCAGAATAACTTTTTTCTTTTATTTCATTCCTTGGATAGGCTGGCAAAAATCTCCCATGCAATGTTGTTTACGATACAGAACTTGCACCTCTAGTTGTATGTGGACAATGCAGATTAACCCGATGTAGATACAACAAAGGCATCAGTAGAACTTGTTAGCACAATATTGCAATTTGCCTTTCGCTATCTTGCAATTTAAAAAATTCAGTAGGTCAGAGATGGTATACTGACACGCATACTGTTTTCATGCTGAATGGTACATAAAGAGGAGTCAAACCTCCACATACTTTTTTTTTTTCCTGCTTCAGTGTTATTGCTTCTAGGAAGCGAGGAACATTGTTCTCAGTTTTTTCTGTCTATGAATAGTCATGGCTTTTGGGGGGGATGACTGTGAAATTTGAGTTAGTATTGCTGGATATTATGATCCTGATTTGGAGGTGGAGTAGTCAGGTGGGTGCAGAGTCACTTTCAGTTTAGTGACCAGTGCTGCTCACTTGTCTCGAGACTTCTGAATGCTAAAATCAAACCCAAATCATACGCACCTCTGAAACTACAGACTTCTAGCACAGTAAAATTTCACTTAAGTAAAATGACTGTCAGAGTAGTCTGCAGGTATGCAAAAAGGACCATGTGCTAATAACTTGCTTGTGTCTGTCTCTTCTGCTGATCTACTGTGGTCTCTTTCTCAGGCTTTAAAAGAAATCAATGAAGTTGGGGATCTTTTGCAACTGAAATATTCCCGTCACCGTTTGGTACCTCTCTTGGACCGGCCATTTGACGAGACAACATATGAAGAAACAGAAGACTGAACTCCCTCCGTGTGCCTTGGTGGGAGGGACACACCCCATGGGACCTCCGTGGCACACAGGCCACAGTGTCCATGAACAACACACTTATGACTGCTTAGTATAAAAGACATTTCCTCACAATACTGAAGTGGCCACATCAGCTCAAAATGGCATTTTGTAAATAGGGAGACGAGAAAAAAAAGCTTTGATTCCTGTGTCTTCAGGGTCTGGCCCTAGAGGTGCTTGGCTTTATTTTTTTTCTCGTTGCTTTTTTTATTTATTTGTCTCAATGAGTTCACAGCAACCCGAGCTGGCTGTGGCTGACCAGCTCAGACTTTGTATGCACCATTAGCCTCCTAAATGCTGGCTGAGATGTTGTGAGCATGTGTGACGCTGGCATGGCAGCATTTCCAGTGTCACTGCTAGGTGTCTGACCTTCCCAATAACAAGTGAGCTGACCTGTCTGTTCTTGGAGACTTCCTAGAGAAACTGTTGATTGCTAACTTTGACATATTTAACAAGATGGATAATCAACCGAAGTTGGTGGTTTGTTTGTTGGGTTTTTTTTTCTTTTGCAGTTACTTGGGTTTAAAACTTGAACTTATCCTTTTTAAAATAAATGTGTTGTTGACATGTCACTGACAGGACCATTGTTCCCAAACATTATTTAGTTTTGTAAGCCACAGGCAGAAGGACTTTTGGGACTCTAGCCTCTTTTCCTTCCCAGTATGCATAGCAGCTTGTCTCCTGGTTTTGACATTAATTGTCCTCTTGATACAGGGTAAGTGATGGAGAGGGTTTTTTTTCATTACTTTTTTTAATGGACTGTGTTTTCCTTCTGACATACTACCATTTTAAAAAGGTGGGTTTATTGTGTGTTGCTTTCTCATCTTCAGGTTAATTTCTCTTGCTTTAGAATTACTGTGAACAAATCGCTGCTAAGTTCTAGAAGGGTGTTCTTGGGGTTAAGTAAACCATAGCAAGCCTTGTGCTCCTTGTTAGGACCAGAACCCCTCGATAAGCAGGCCTACACAATGGATGACTGTTAGGAGAACCACTTATTTCATGCAGATCTGTGAAAGACTGATTGCTACCCTTTGCCACACTAATTCACTGTTTCTTGTCATATATGAGGTGTTCTTCATTGGTCTTGATGCACGAGGCTTTTACGCAAAGAGTATAGACAGCTTGGATCTTGTATCATACGTTATATTTCAGCTGGCCAGCAAAGCCTGAGTTGGCAGCTGCGTGTCTGTGTAGGCCTTCCCTGAAAAGAATATGTCCTCACAATTGTGTTGAGTTTGAGATCTTTATTCTTTTTACTGTTCTGTTACTGTGAGATCAAATTAATGTTCACTGAGCCAGTTGCGGTTTGGAATCTTTCTTTGCAAGTTCCACACTTTTACAGTGATTGAAGTTTAAAATAGACACCTTTGCTCTAGCACACCTTAGAGGCAGTCTGCTACTTAGTCATTGTATCTTGAATTCTTTCAGTGAACAGAATGGATCATTGAAGAGGTGCCAAAAATTTTGTAACAGGAGTCAGTTGCAATATAGTTTGTTTCTGTATTTTATACCTTTGACACCTCTCAAAGATAGTAAAGCTTCAACATTGTGTCAGTTGGGTTGGACCAGCTCTTCAGTTTGGTTTAGCATGATGTTTTTTGCAGGTGACTGGAGTTGTCTAAAGCAGAGGGCAGCTCAAACCTCTTTGCCTGGTGCTGCAAAAAAATTAATGATTTTTTTGAAGTTCTTTTATGTTCACTCTACAACTAACAGGGATGAGCACTTTGGTCACTAGAATCAAGCAATTCTGCAGATACATCTGGTGATTTAAAGCAGAATTGGATTCTATTTTATAGAATATCTACATGTGTTTATAGATCTTACTCCATTTTAATGTAACAGAACTTCAAAACACTGATTCAGTTTTTTACCATTGCATTTCAGAAATTTAGTTAGATGAGAACTAAAATTTACCATTTCAGAATAGTTCCAAGTAACTTTCTATCTTAGTCCACTAATGTTGATTTGCTCACCTTCTGGAGCAAAGTGTGTGCACAGTCCAAGAAGTCTGTAACCTGTATGCGCAACTTTTGATAGCTGTGGAGCAGTCTTGTTTGTTCAGCCACAGAGTGAGTAAACTGCAATTACATGAGCTTACTTTCTCGCCTGCATTTTGCCTAGGCCTAGCTCTAACACTCCAGCAGATGACCTGCTTTCTGACTTCAAGAAGCTTTACCTCAAAGAATTATTGCCTTTTTTTTTTTTCTCTGGATTGTAGTAGGGAACAAGAGGAGGTTAGTGCAGGAAGCCCAGACTCCAGCCCTGGTCCTTTTGACTTGATCGTGGAACGGTTTAAGATCAGACAAAACCGACCAACTTGAAGGCATAGGCATGGGTCAGTAGGGAGCTGTTTTGAGCATTCCCAGAGGTACAGCGTGCTTGTGTCTGCTGTGTAGTCAAGTCGGTTTGAAAACTGTGACTCATTAAGTTAGAAGTGGGTTATCATAGATTCTACGAGTCTTGAGTCTTAATTTTGTCTCTGATTCAGTTTTAGGGCAGCTTTTCTTTTAGAAGGGAGAAAAACATTGGCTAAATTGCAGTAATTCATATAACTCCTGTGGAACACTTCTGAAATTGTGAGTGTTTGAAAATAACTGGTCCCCGTTGGGATTCCAGTTGCACTTGTTGAGGAAATTGTGTTCATGCTAAACTTCTGCCATTTCATATCTTTGCTGTGTCATGCTGTCTGCATATGACTTTGAATTCTGGGTTGGAAAGACATTTCAGAAATCATTCAGGCAGTTAGTAGCATTTGCAAACTGCTTGGTTACATTTCAGCCCTGACACATCCTTTTTGGGGAACAACTTCCCAAGGGTTCAAGGCAACCTCTTTTGCCAAAGTCTGGTACCTGTTGAAACTGCCTCTGGAAAAGTAATAAGTCCAAGATTTCACACTTTTAAGTCAGTAGTTCACTGGGCACAAAAGGAAGGAAAATCTTTTCGCATCTACTAAAAACCTCCATTCCCACAACCGAAGGCGCAGACCACTTCTGGTTTGTACTAGGCAGACCTACAGCACGTGTGCTGTCAGGGTCTGTTGAGGATGGATTGCTGCTTGGATATCTATGTACTGACCAGAAATCTGTCTCCTTTGTGTCCTGGCAGTAGAAGTGAATGAAAGAATCTTGAGAGATCACAAAGGAAGAAAAGCTGCTTAAGAAATAGACTTCAGTCCCTGCCAACTTTTCTGAGACGTTCTAATTGAAAATGACTCCTGGTATTTCTTGAGATGCAAAATTCAAAAGGAAATGAAGGCTGCTTTTGAACAAAGGGGTTTGCCCTGTACTGTACATAGGCTAAACTTACTCATAAATATACAATAGCTACCTTCCCAGTACCTCTCTGAAGAACTTAGCAAGCAAGATTTTTGCCTCTGCTGAGCAGAGTGAAGAGTTTAGAACCATTATAGTTTTCAAGGCTGATGGCCATATTCTTTTATTCTTAAGGCAACTGAGAAGCTCCTATTACCAAGCATCAGCGAAGAGTGAGAGATCTGCTTCTTGTTAGAAACTGGCCTTCCCAAGTAGACCTTTGTCTTAAGGAGCCTGATTGATATTTTTTCTTTAGTTCTTTGGCAGGGAAACCACCAAGGTTTTCTGTGTCCAAATATTCAGGGCTCTTTTTTATTTCTTCCCTTCCTCCCCCCCCATACACAAACTTTTGTATAGTCTCTGTGTATATGGTGTATTTAACTCTGTTTAGTGTCTATGTTTTTTTTCCCTTCTAAGTAGCATAATCCTTAAAGAGCTATTCTGGTTCTTGGATTACTGCTGTAGCACGCTCTGCTTTAGGCAAAGTCTCGGGAGTGAATTGACCGAACATCTTACTGTGATGAAGTCATTCAGTGAAGGTATTACATCATCCATCCTACTCTTGCTGTTTCCCCTAAGAGTGTAGAAGTGGTACCCACTGTCAGAGCTGCACCTTCACCCAGAGCAGGAAAGGGAAGTGTACCTGTGAAATCAGTGACCCAGCCCTGTGCTGTGTGGATGAAGGGCTGATACAGCAGAGATGGAGAAAAGGGGGCAGTCAGTCATCGCTTATTCTCAGCTGTATGGGGATCTTGTGTACTTGAACAAGCATCCCTAAGACAGGAATGCGACTTTCAGTGCTCAAAGGGACACTCCTCTAAAACTTTTCCACACCAAGTAAATACTTCCTCTCCTTCTGTGCAAATTTTAATTTCTTTACCTCTGGAAAGTATTTGGCTTACAGCGGTTTGCTCATCCAGAAGCCATATTATCCATTCAGGCAGATCATAGGAAAGGTTGGAGGAAAGCCATGAGCACAGGTGCTGCATTTCATCTAAGAGAACACCTTGCAGCATTGGATCTGGAGTGCTATGCATGAGCTGCCTTGCTGCATCACAGAGAAGGAAACTTGTGGAGACTTACCCCAATATACAATGTGCAGTCAACATTTTTACAGTTTATATGTACAGTTTATATATATTATTTGTACAGTTTATACTCAGCCTGTGAAAGTGTAGAGCTTGCTGGGATCTATGTGGGTGGCACCTTCTGCACAGAGATCTGAGGTACCTGCAGTCTGTTCTGCTTTAACCCTAGTGAAGCACTGAGCTGCCTGGGAGTGCCTGGTGTGACCTCTCAGCAGGTGCCTCGCTGGCTTTGGTGCTGGACCTGCCATGCAAGTAGCATTGGACCACTGTTTGGGAAAAGCACCAGTCATTCAACCTCAATAACTTGAACATGGTTTTAAAAGAAAGGAGTGGGGAGAAAAAAAAAAAAAGAGGGGGGAAAAAAAAAAAAAACACGAACAACCACCAAAACCCGAACAAAAAAAACTACTCAGATGCCATTGTGATGGCTTGTATTCCTGTAAACATTCCAGCCTTGCAGTTGTATACCTGTTCAAGGATTTGGACATAAAGCCAGAGCACAGCCGTGAAGTGTTTGAAGTATTGTGCTTTATCTTTCACTTAAAAGAGAAGCGTTTGGTGCAGACTTTGGAGCTGTTGTGTTTACATTCCCCAAAAGGGGCTGGGTGAAGGAGATGACGACTGTGGTGTGTGGTGAAGGCCTTAAACTGTGACTCTTGGTATGAAGAATTGAAATTAAAACTGACCTTGAAGAATGCAGTGGATTTTAACCCATGGAGGAATACTGTGTGCTTAGTTAAGCAGTATGTTCTGCTGTTTTCTTGGGAGGGAGAGAGGGGTTCAACTCAATTTGCATTTCACCCTGGCTAGCAGCTGTTCAAGGAGCAGAAGAGGTGTCTGTATGTGAAGGCCAAAAATAGTGCAGTTCACTACACTGATGTTCCTATGTAGGAAGCGTTGGTAACTTGTTCCTAGGCTGCCGAAAGCGGGAGAATTGCTGTGGGGGTCAGGGACTTCAGAAGCAGTGGCAGCTAGCAAATTAATTTCCTCAACAGTAGGTGAACAGGTCTTGCTTGAATATGCCAGGGGTTGGTGCTGTTCCAAAAATACCCATGGCGAAGTGAAACACGCACCGAACCATCTGACTGCTTTAAAGCGTTAGGTTTTTTTGCCAAATCTCATCCTGTTCAGACAGTATTTCTGCTACCCCCTAACGGTATAGTAAGCTAAATGCATCCTCCAGCTTTCCAATATTATTAACTTCGGACTAGTTTGAGAGAGATCAGAGGAACGTTGGAGCCTGAGGCTTTAGGCTAGCAGCCCCAAAGCCAATGGTGGCCCACATTTCCACAGTCCCTGGGCAGAATTACCAAGTCACAGCACTTCGTCTTAAATTGCACTGTATTCTTATGCCTCTGTGTTGCTATAATGTACATATATATTGGATTTTTTGTAGATAAGACATTTTAGATAAAATTTTTAAATGGGCTCCCCCCCAAAATATTTTATGCCAGATGTCTAATTTTTTTTACACTCGCGATTAACCTGAAGTTGGATGTTCTGTGGGCAGGGAAAAGAAAAATGGATGGTACATTGGCTTTAAAAAGGTAACAATGCATGTTTTAAAAAAAAAAAAAAAAAAAACACTGGAGAAAAAACTGCTTGGGAAAAAAATCCATTCAAATATATTCTATGTTCTGCATAATAAAGACTTTAAAAAAATGCTATATTGTGATTTTTTTTTTCTTCATGCTAACGAGGCTTTTCCCATGTTAGTGAGACCAAACCCTCTTCCCCTTTCTTCTCAATCCCTCTGTCACCTCTCCCCATTGCCCCCAAAAAACAAAAACATGTGAATTTTGTACTGGCATGGCTTGATAAAACCATAGCCTGTTCAAGAGCTCAAATGTATCAGTGTCCCCCTCTAGCCTTGGACTCCAGAGCCAGGAAACCGTGCCTGTGAGATGGATGCTGAGCTGTTTCTGATCAGCCTTGGGTCCCTTGTACAGCAACAGCCCTGAGGCACAGTCCAGGGAACCTTCCCTTGCGGAGACACAGGTCTGCAGAGGTTACTGCTGTGCCTGCCGTGCCCACTGTTAGCTCTGTGCTAGCCCCGTAAAGCTGGCTCTGCGCAGCACTCGGGCTGCTGCTACCCGTGGGTGCTGTCAGTGTCAGGCTGATAAGGAGATGTTTGAAAGGGCTTCTTGATCCATCTCGTGTGGGATTCTTGACCTCATATCTGTCTTGCAGTCTGTGCCTTGTTTTAAACATTTCCTTCCATTCATCTCAGCCCTAAGTTTGCATAAACCAGATGTTGGTATTTGAAAAGGAGGTGCAGTCGTGTTTTCAGCTGTGGGTGCACAAACGGGCCCAGGTGATTTGCAGGGTTGTGCTAAGGCTGCTGTTGAAATGCTGGGCTGTGTTTTTCCCTGCTAGGTGTCCCCTTCTGGGGTCTGTGCCAGCGCTGGCACTTTTCCTCAGTGGGCTGCAAAACCACCTTCCCGCG